ACTCTCTCATTCTCATGGTGCGGCAGATTGGAACTCATGATTATGGTAATGGTTGTTACAGCATCCATCGCAACACAGGCGGAGATTCCTGGCAACACATTGGTGGATGTTCACACAGAGTTTCAGTTGGCAGCAGTGCTTACGTAATCGTGCTGAGCCATGCGGGACATATACATCAATGGACCGCCAATGGATGGGTGTTTATACACAGCCCTCCAGCTCGAGCCATCAGTATCACCAAGGATGGAACCATCTGGATGACAGAGCTCGTGTCGGGATCTGCTCATGGGACAGTCTGGCGCAAACGGCCAGGGGATGCCAGTTTCTTCGTGTTTGGTGGCGGGGGTGGTCGCATCTCTGGCACAAGTAATGGAAGAGCTGTACTTTGTAACCTTGGTAGCTCACTGTGGAGTCATGCTGGATCCCATTGGTATCCAACAGGAACGTGTGACAATGGTGATGTTAGCATGGCTGCTGATGGAACCATCTGGACAACAGGAGTGCCAACAGGCCAGGCGAATCCCGGACTGATCCGCAAATCCACGAAAATGTTGTCCCATTCCACCAGTTGGGCGACCCCTATTCCTGGTCAAACTGGCATTAGCATTGCAGCTGTCAGTGCTAACAAGGTCTATCTGGTGGATGCTGCTTTTAATCTTTGGAAGTATGAGATCCCAGCCAAGAGAGACGCAACTGGAATCACTCGGGTGTTTGGTCCACCCGATACCAGTGCCTTCAAGAGCTATGATCAAGCACAAGAATTCTGCGAATCGCAGGGAGGATCTCTTGCTTCTGGAGCTGATATCTGCCCTTTGGATGGTTCTGCGCAACCCTACTTTGGAATCCAGTCCGGAGATCACTGGGCTCCGGCTTCGGATTACCACAATGCATGGGTCCAGGTGGGGACGCATCCATGGAATGCTCCAACATGCAGCCTCCACCGAGATACTCACAATGGAGTGGATCCCGATTGGGGTCTTGACGGAAACATGAAGCAATCTTGGGAGTCACAGTACATCGTCTGTAACATGAGGACCGCGGTCTATGGACCCAGTTACACCACCAATATCAAAGGCTATTACCAAGCGGATGCCTTCTGCAAGGCTAAAGGAGGAACTCTTGCTTCAAGATCAGACATCTGCCCCCTCAGCTTGACCGTACCGTATTTTGGTTCTCAAACGGGAGACCAGTGGACACCAGTTGCTGATTATGGCAATGCCTGGGTCCAGGTAGGAGTGCATTCTGTTGCTTCGTCGTGTGGGTTCCACAGGGACACCTATGGAGATCCCTGGTGGGGGGTTGATGGAAATCTCAAGCAACCCTATGAGTCGAACTTTATCATTTGTGCCTCAAACAGAGTCCTCTTTGGCAAAAACAAGCAAGTTGCTGTCAACACCTATGACAAAGCGCAAGCTTTCTGTAAAGCAAAAGGAGGATCTCTTGCTTCTAGTGCTGACGTCTGCCCCTCAGGGGCACGTGCCCTGCCATATTTTGGAATCCCGGAGGGGAATCAGTGGACCCCTGTCTCTGACTACAAGAATGCATGGATCCAAGTGGGGACTCATCCTTCCGGCAAACCAACTTGTCAAACGCATAGAGCTAATTGGGGAAATGATCCTGGTTGGGGTTTGACTGGATCATGGGCTCCTGCTTCGAACTACCTTGTTTGCTCCAGTCGTTGGCGCAAGTTCAATGGGTTGAAAGCTCGAGATGTTGGTGCTGCAGATGATGGAACCATCTGGGTGGTACGTGTGCTTGTACTACTGATCAAGTAGAGTTTCATTTTGCTTTTTAGCCCTCATCTTCCACTCCTTTTTGTTGATACAGATTGGAATGCATCACTATGGCAATGGATGTTATGCTATCAATCGTCACACAGGCACAGATTCCTGGCAACACATTAACGGATGTGCCTACAGAATTTCAGTGGGCAGCAAAGACCACATCCTAGTACTGCAGAAAGGAGGAAACATTTATAAGTGGACTTATAAGGGGACTGGTCATGGCTGGGTGCATGTACAAAGCCCTCCAGCTCGGGATATCAGTATCACCAAAGATGGAACTATTTGGATGACAGAATTGGTGGCTGGGAGAGATTTTGGTGATGTCTGGCGCAAGCGCCCCACTGATAGCGCTTTTGTGAGGTTTGGCGGAGGTGGAGACCGCATTTCTGGTTCCAGTAATGGCAGAGCCACCGTCTGTAATACCTTGCCATCTTTAGGTTCAGATGTGCTGTGGGTTCATGGTGGTTCCCATTGGTATGGAACTGGTCCCTGCAGCAATGGCGATGTCTCCATGACCGATAATGGTGTCATCTGGACAACAGGAGTCCCCACCCAGGGAAACCCTGGATTGGCCCACAGGTCCACCTCTACAACAACCCATGCTACCACTTGGGACATTCCAGCACAGGGCAGGTCTGGTAAAGAAATTGCTGCTCTGAACGCAAACAGGTTTCTACTAATTGATTCTAGCTTCAGTCTCTGGCAGTATGAGATACCCTCCTCTGATCTTGACTTCATTCAGCCTACACCAATGCCAACACCATCACCAACACCCAATCCAACACCATTACCAACTCCTGCACCCACTGTTTCTCCTGCCCCTTCTTCCTCCCCATCCTCTACACCTAGTAGTCCGCCATCATCATCCCCATCATCCTTGCCTAGTGGGTTGCCATCCATATCACCCTCTGATGTGCCTAGTTTTGAGCCGAGCGCATCCCCGAGTTATGCCCCATCTCAGCAGCCATCAGACAGGCCGTCCCAAGTCCCAAGTTTGAGCTCTGTTCCCAGTTCACAACCAAGCTCATATCCATCAACTCCACCCTCATCCAGCCCATCATTGGCGCCCTCTGGTGTTCCCTCTGATTATCCAACCATTGCTCCAACCTATGCCGCGTTTGCTTCCACAGTGGGTAAGTTCCACTTGTCAAGCTGTCGCACTAACACTGTATTGATACGTTGTTACTATGATGAGCTCAACCTCTCTCTCCACACCACGGTCAATTTCAGAGCAACGGTGGCAACCAGAGTGGGGGGGCATCAAAATGTTCGGACCTCGGAAAACGAGGGCACTGGATGGTGGATGGAAATCTGCGGAAGCCTTATGCAATTCTCACGGAGGAACTTTGGCCTCTCTGGCACAAATTTGTCCTATGGGGATGACCATCGCTGAGCCAGTCAATGGAATCCAATCGACAGAAGGTGACCAATGGGCTCCTATTGGAGACAGAGAAGGACAATGGGTGAATGTTGGAAGTAGTGATCAGTACCCCAATTGTACGAAACACGGTGGAACCACTGGCCATGGTCATGATTTGGGTTGGGGGAACTACGTGTATTGTGCCCCAAGCAATTGGTACAAGTTCAGTGGAATAAAGGTTAAAGATGTGGAGCAAACAATTCGAGATGTTGATGCCGCAGAGGATGATACTATCTGGGTGGTACGTTTGCTTGTTCTTTAACTGAAACTGACCAGTGTTGATTTTTTCGTAATATGGCTGAATATGAGTTCCTCTCCAAACTGAACTGTGCCTCGTTCACCCCTTGCTTCTTCTTTCCATGCTCTGCTTGATTCAGATCTCGAACTACAAAGTAATGACTGACTGCTACAGTATCCATCGCTATATTGGAGGTAACACTTGGGAAGAAGTCAGAGGATGCGCCAGTGGCATTTCAGTCGGCAGCCGCACTAACATCATTGTGAGAATACAGTTGTCTGAAGTTGGTTTCACATTGGTGACCCCTGTCTCATAATCTGTACTTCTTTCAATTGACATCAGGTGACCACCACCGATGGGGAAATTCACCAGTGGACCGGGCATGGCTGGACATTGATCAAGAGCCCTGCTGCCAGAGATGCAAGTATCACCAAGGACGGCACTATTTTTATGACAGAATTGGTGTCCGGACAGGTCTTTGGAGATGTCTATCGCAAGGCTCCAACAGATAATGAGTTTGTGTTGTTTGGAGGCACCGGAGGTCGAATCTCTGCTTCAGGCCCTGACAGGGTTGCCCTCTGCAACACAATTGATGACAACAAACTCTGGAGCCATGGTGGTTCCCACTGGTATCAAACAGGAACCTGCGGCAATGGGGATATTAGTGTTGCTGCTGATGGAACCATCTGGACAACAGCAGTTGCAAGTGGCCAGTCAAACCCTGGATTACCCCGTAGATCACTTTCCATGAGTGTCTCAGCTGCAACTTGGGACAAACCTGTTCAGGGCAAATCTGGTACCAAAATTGCTGGTGTTCATGCGGACATGTTTGTGATGGTTGATTCTGCTGGGACTCTCTGGCAGTATAAGGTATGGGAATCGGGATGCTATTCAAAAGTGTTATGGATTGTTTTGTTTCTAGGAATACAGTTGACTGCACTCTTTGATTTCACATTTGGTGACATTTGTCTCATCTATGCATCCTTTTTTTATTTTTGTAAAGGTCCCGATCATGCCCAGTCAAGCAGGGACGACACCGCTCTTCGGACCTAGCCAGACATCCAATGTAAAAACCTACGAGCAAGCAAAAGATTTCTGCCAGTCCAAAGGAGGATCCCTTGCTTCCAGTACCGACATTTGTCCTACCATCGATAATTGGAGCAAGCGCAGCATCAAAGCTCGAGATGTTGGCGCTGCAGATGATGGAACCATCTGGGTGGTATGTGTGCTTGGTACCACTACCTGATCAAAGGAGGATTCAGTTGGTTTTCTTATCCCTCATTTTCCTGTACCTATTGCTTTCATGCAGATTGGAATTCTTGACCATGGTAATGGTTGCTATTCCATCTACCGTCATACTGGTGGGGATTCATGGGAGGACGTAGCTGGATGTTCCCACAAAATTTCTGTTGGGAGCAGCACGAAAATTGTTGTGAGTACACGTGACTGAAGTCTTTGGTTTCACGTTTGGCGAAGTCTGTCTTATCTATGCATTGTTGTACTCTTTCAATGTCAGGTTTTAAATAAGCATGGCCACATCCACCAATGGACCTCCAATGGTTGGGTTTTCCTCACCAGTCCTCCATCTCGCGATGTCAGTATCACCAAGGATGGAACTATTTGGATGACAGAATTGGTGGCTGGACAGAATGCTGGCGATGTCTACCGCAAGCGAACATCAGATACCAGTTTTGTGAAATTTGGTGGCGGAGGAGAGCGGATTGCCGGTTTAAATGCTGACAAGGCTGTTCTTTGCAACACATTGACGGGCAATCTTCTCTGGAGCCATGGTGGTTCCCACTGGTATCAAACAGGAACCTGCGACAATGGGGATATGAGTGTTGCTGCTGATGGTACCATTTGGACAACTGGGGTTGGAACTGGCCAAACCCGACCTGGTTTGCCTCGAAGATCAACTGCTTTTACAGCCCATCACACTTCCTGGAGTCCTCCTATCCAAGGCCACTCTGGCGTGATCATTGATCATGGCGGCAACATTGCTGCTGTGAGTGCCAGAGAGTTCCTTCTGATTGATTCTGATCTCCATCTCTGGCATTATGAGGCAGACAAGCCCTACTTTGGTATTCAGCCTGGTGATCAGTGGATTCCAGCGGCTGACTACGAAAATGCATGGATTCAGGTGGGAACACATCCATGGGGTGCGCCGACATGTTCGTTCCACCGAGACACACACAATGGAGTTGATCCTGATTGGGGGATAAAGGATGACAAGATGCGCTGGGAATCCAACTACATTTTGTGCAACATAGACAAGTTTATTTATGGACCCGATGATACCTCCAAGGTGATTGATTATGATGATGCCAAGCACTTCTGTGATTTGAAGGGAGGGAACCTAGCCTCTTTTGACGAAATCTGCCCACTTCCTCTTGTGAAAAGACCATACTTTGGTGCTGCTGGTGGTGTCCACTGGACTCCATTTGGGGACTACCGCAATGGCTGGGTTGAAGTTGGTGGCGATGCCGTCGCTGATATGTGTTCCAGACACAGGACAAAGTATGGTGACCCACGAATTGGGTTAGGACCAATGTGGGGAGCAGAAGATGACAAGTTGGAAGGAGAAGCAGACTATGTCATTTGCAAGATGGAGGGTGTTTTTGTGTATGGACCCAGTGCGACTGCTGATGTCCAGTCGTATGCACAAGCCAAGACATTTTGCGCTGCTAGGCAACTCCTGCTGGCTTCCAGTTCTGATGTCTGCCCCCCTGATGGCTCTAACAAGCCATACTTTGACATCCAGACAGGTGACCAGTGGACACCGGTCTCAGACTATGACAATGCATGGGTCCAAGTTGGGCTGCATACGGAAGTTTCAACTTGCAGTTTCCACAAGGACAAATATGGTGATCCTGCCTGGGGTACCAGTGAAGACAAGAAAGATTGGGAATCAAACTATATTGTTTGTACCTCTTGGTTTCACAAACACAGAGAGGCAACAAGTACTGACATGGCTGTGTCCAAGGCTGTGTTCGAGCGACGTGAAAAGATCAACAAACTCTTCAGCATTCCAGACCACCACCTGCACGGAAGAATAAGCCGAAGCATTGCTCGGTACAAGTATCCCGATGGCAAACAAAGGAACTTGTGTGCCTACTCCGAAGACGGTTACAACTTTCCCTACAAACTGGCGTACTACAAGATGTACCCTGAGGAAGGCTGGCTTGATGTTAAGTACACGACCAATCTAGAAGAAATGTATACTGCAGATGACCTTCAAATTATGAGACCTGTGACTGGAAATGGATACTTTTCTGTTGGTGACATCATTTGGGATGGAAAAGTTAATACAACAGAGAACGGCACAGCTGTTTTGGTCCACCAAAAGAAGGCGCTAATGGTAAAAGGAAGTGGTTCTGCTTTGACGAAACCCCTCTACTATCAGAACATCTTCAATGCATCAATTGGATCTGAACAAGAGACAGAAGGAGGAGGACTGAACAATGGTGGAGCAAGTGAAACAAGCACAGATTTGCTCTCCACAAATGGAACAGAAAAGGAAGGGCTAGTAGCAATCAATAAACCGACCTTGTGGCATGAGTACAATGGGGTCACAGTTCGTGATGTCGGTGCTGCATATGATGGCACAATCTGGGTGGTGAGCTTCCTGATGGGGTTTCATATCTGTCTTTCTGTCTGTGTGTGGGCGCATCTGACACTTCCCCTCTTCTGTGCTTTGATCAGATTTCGAACTACACCGTAATGGATGGTTGTTACACCATCCACCGCAAACTAGAAGGAGACACCTGGGAGGAAGTCAGAGGGTGTGCCTCTGGCATCTCAGTCGGCAGCAGCGAGAACGTCATCATTACAACGGAAGAAGGGGAAATATTCAAGTGGAGTGGTCAAGGCTGGGATTTGATCCCAAGCCCCGCTGCACGAGACGCAACCATCACTAAGGATGGAACAATTTTTTTGACAGAATTGAAAGATGGAACTGACTATGGCGATGTGTGGCGCAAGCGTCCATCAGATGGTTCCTTTGTGCTCTATGGTGGAGGTGGAGACAGAATTGCTGCTTCGGGGCCCGACAAGGTGGCCCTGTGTAATTCCTTGCCATCTTTAAATTCAGACTTGCTTTGGAGTTATGGAGGTTCCGAATGGTATGTAACAGGAGTCTGCAATAATGGAGATATCAGCATCGCTGCTGATGGAACCATCTGGACAACAGGAGTCGGAGAAGGTCAAAAAGGACGAGAAAGTGCTGGATTGGCACGCAGGTCTACCATATCAACAGCCATTGCAACCACATGGGCTGATCCCATTAAAGGACATGCCGGTGTGAAGATTGCTGCCATGAGTGCAGTAGAGTTTGCACTGGTTGATTCAGACAACAAATTATGGCGATATGAGAATCTGGGTCTACGAGTTCCCAAGACTGGTAATACTCAAGTTTTTGGGCCACGAGAAACTGGAGCTATCAACAGCTATGACCAAGCACAGAAGTTTTGTGAGATGAAGGGAGGAACACTTGCTTCCAGTTCTGACATTTGTCCCTCTGGAAGGTAAGACACCAGTCCATTGATCAACACTCACACTCATGCATTTTGATTGTTCCCGATGCAAACACAGCAAACAAACCCATCTCATAATTATTGCCGTTTGTTTTCTCAATTTTTAGCTCAAGCTGGCCTTACTTTGGAATTCAGGATGGTGATCAATGGACACCTGTATCAGACTACCACAATGGGTGGATCCAAGTTGGGAGTCATCCAGTTGTTTCAACTTGTAGTCTCCACCGGGACACGTATGGAGATCCTGATTGGGGTCTTGACGGAAATGGGAAGAAAGCATGGGAGTCTAACTACATCCTTTGCAACATGCAGATCTTTGTGTATGGACCCACTGAAACTTCCAATGTCAAGAGCTATGATCAAGCACGTGACTTTTGTGTGGCAAAGGGAGGTTCACTTCCAGCCAGTTCTGATATTTGTCCCTCAGATCGTTCTGAACTTTGGCAGAAGGAGTGGGGGGAGATCCACATGTTTGGGCCCAGCGAAACGAGTAGCCTTGCCATAGGATGGTCTGCAGCACAAGACTTCTGTGATTCCCGTGGTGGAACCCTCGCCTCTATTAAGGATATTTGTCCCCCTGATGGTGGTACCAACTCCACGCCAGTCACTGGGATTCAGTCAAATGCCGATGATCAATGGGCCCCAATTTCCGAACGTGAGAATCAATGGGTTAATGTGGGAAGTGGTGGTCGGTTCCCTGTTTGTACCTTTCATGGCGGCGCGGCTCCCGAGATTACTGGACAGGGCCGTCACCATGGGTGGGGAAATTACGTGTTCTGTTCTCCGCATCCTAAGGGTTGGTACAAGTACCGGGGTGTTAGTGTGCGCGATGTGGGTGCTGCAGAGGATGGTACCATTTGGGCGGTAAGAGAATGACATGTTCCAGAGTGTCTCAATGGTTTCATGAATTGGCTGACCCTCATCTATGATGTTTCCATGCGTGTGCTGATGCAGATTGGTACCCACGACTACATTCCTGGCAAAGGCTGCTACAGCATCCATCGTCACAATGGTGGAGATTCATGGGAGCGCATTGGTGGATGTTCACATAAAATTTCAGTTGGCAGCAGTACAAACATTGCGGTTCTAAATTTCCACGGACACATCCACCGATGGACACCACATGGATGGGTTTTTGTCCACAGTCCTCCTGCCCGGGATATTAGTATCACCAAGGATGGGACTATCTGGATGACAGAGCTCGTACAGGGTCATCACTCTGGTGCTGTTTTTCGCAAACTTCCAAGTGATTTTGCCTTCAGGCGTTTTGGAGGAGGTGGAAACCGCATTGCCGCTTCAGGCCCTGATGTGGTTGCCCTCTGTAACACTGGAGCAGGGAATTTACTTTGGGTTAATGGTGGTTCCCACTGGTATGCTGCTGGATCCTGTAACAACGGCGACGTTGGCATGGCTAGTGATGGGACAATTTGGACAACAGGAGTTGGAAGTGGTCAGACAAGTCCAGGTCTACCTCGCAGATCACTTACTTCCACTTCAACTGCTACAACTTGGGAAGCGCCTGTACAAGGAAGGGCTGGTCGCAACATTGCTGCCGTGACCGCAGACAAGTTCCTGATGGTTGATTCCGACAACAAGTTATGGCACTACGAAAGGCCCCAACCCATCGAACCAAAGCTTGGAGCGCTGCGTGGTGGAAGTCACTTTGTTCCCTTTGATGACTATCATAATGGTTGGATCGAAATTGGCAGTGATGACCAATCCCCTGTGTGTACCAAAAAAGCGGATGTGACCTCCGAGCCAAAATATGTTGTGTGCGACTTGAACAGGGTTGTTTTTGGGCAAAGCCAAACATCCAATGTGAAGTCGTATGACCAAGCAAATCAATTCTGCAAATCAAAAGGAGGGTATCTTGCTTCCAGTGCTGAAATCTGTCCCAAATCTGAGCATGAGAACCACTGGCAAAAATATGGTGGAATCAAAGTCAGGGATGTTGGTGCTGGTGATGATGGAACCATCTGGGCGGTAAGTTTGGTTGGTTTTCATATGAAGGTCGTTCACATGCTATGTACCGTAACGTGTTCATTTTCATATTCATTGACCTCGTCCTGTATTGCTTTTCTTCATTCCCTTGTGACGGCAGATTGGTACTCATGACTACATTCCTGGTAAAGGCTGTTACAGTATCCACCGTCACACTGGAGGGGATTCCTGGGTGGAAGTAGGTGGATGTTCCCACAGAATTTCCGTAGGCAGCAAAGATCAAGTTGCGATTATCAATTTCCACGGCCACATTCATTTATGGACCCCCATAGGTTGGAAGTATATACACGGCCCTCCAGCTCGAGACATCAGTATCACCAAGGATGGCACTATTTGGATAACGGAATTGGTGGCTGGTTTTGGCCATGGTCGTGTCTGGCGCAGGCTTCCCAATGAGGGGTTGTTTACAATGCCACTTGGTGGTGCTGGAACCCGCATTTCTGCCCTCAATGGGAACAAGGTGGTATTATGTAACCAATACGCAATTTGGGCGTATGGTGATGCTGGGTGGAAAAACACAGGGGGTTGCAGTGGTGGTGATATCAGCATAGCTGCTGATGGAACCGTCTGGACAACAGGTTTGCCCATTGGCCAGACAGGTCCTCGATTGGCCAGAAGGTCAACCGCCTTTACAGTTGACATTACTTGGGCCCAACCAGTGGAGGGCGAGTCGGGTATAAACATCGCTGCTGTCAATTCCAGAGAGTTCCTGCTGGTTGATTCCACCAACAATCTCTGGCACTGGTTTGAAGCAGTTGAACCTTATTTTGGAGTTCAGACTGGCGATCAGTGGACACCGGTATCAGATGATATCAATGCATGGTTGCAGGTGGGAGTCCATCCGAATGGCCGTGCAGTAACGTGCCAGCTACACCGAGACGTTTTCAATCATGCTCCTGGGTGGGGTGTCAGTGGAAGCTGGCATGATGCTGCAAACTACATTATTTGCAACATGAGAATGGATGTTTATGGCCCCTCTGAAACATCCAATGTGAAGTCCTACGACCAAGCAAAACAATTCTGCGCAGCTAAGGGAGGATCACTTGCTTCCAGTGCTGATATTTGTCCCTCGGGAGTAAGCAAAGATCCTTACTTTGGTAAACAGATTGGTGATCAATGGACTCCTGTCAGGGATTACGGCAATGCCTGGATCCAGATGGGAACCCATCCATGGGGTGCTCCAACATGCAGCCTCCACCGAGATACTCACAATGGAGTGGATCCCGATTGGGGTCTTGACGGAAACATGAAGCAATCCTGGGAGTCCAACTACATTGTTTGCAAGTCTGGTGTAGATCCACAGACAAAACTTGTGGCTGCTGCGGACAACAAGTTCCACATGTTTCCGGAACCACTGCCTGATAGTTCAAAGGGATGTGTTGCATTCAAGACGACAGTAAGTTTCAATGTTGAGTGACGAAACCATGTACTCTCTCTCATTTCTCACTCACGCTGTTGGCAAATGAACTGATGTTGTGTGCTTCTACAGGCAAGCATGAACCAATCTTTTGGCTTGTCATCCAGAGCAGACCTTGTGCAAGATCCTACCATGGACTGGTTGTGGGTTGAATTGGGTACAAGATGGGGAGCACATTCGTGGTTGGTCACAAACGGTAAATTTCTGAATGTCATTGACCACAAAGACACCAGCTCGCCTAGATACAAACCATCCTTTCTGGATGGGACACCAAACAACTTCTGGGTATGCTCTCTGGCGGAATCAGGCGGACTCTTGTTTGAGATGGGAACTGGCCGAGATCCCTCCAACAAGGCCTCCAAGTTTATCCAAGTGTCTCTTCCTGACACAACACCCGGTGCACGGCCATTCTTTGGCTTCAAGTCTTACAACACTGAAGAGTTGTACAGTGATATTGAGGTGATCGATTTGAATGCAGCACCGGCACCGGCACCCAAGATTGCAGCACGATATCTCCTCGGTGATTTCAAATCCAACACCACAGCACCAACAAGCTTCCCCGCAGGATCTACTTTTTCTCTCAACACCACAAACGCAACCGACAGCACTTCCTCTGTCCCATCTAGTGCTCCAACTGTCACTCCGCCTTCTCTTTGGAGACCCATTCCTCCGCCTGGTACGTTTGAAGATTAGTTGTGCCATATTTCAAATGCATTTTTGCTCGTTGTTCAATGATGCTTTCTGTCTTCCATCACAGGATACACATGCCTGGGGCATGTTTGGACCATTGATGAAACTGAG